ACTTTACATCGTGTAAATCGTCTCTATTGTCTTGATAATGAAAATTATAATTTTCGAAACGTCGACTTTATTTTTATAAAAACTTTTTAATTTTAATTCTTATTAAATAAAGATAAATCTTATGACACCCACAGAGAGTGGCAATAGCTCTTGTTGACACTCTCAGAGAGTGGCAATAGCCCTTGTTGACACTCTCAGAGAGTGGCAATAGCTCTTGTTGACACTCTCAGAGAGTGGCAATAGCGCTACCCTTTTTTTAGTCAGGTAACAATTCTTAGTGACACTAAAAGATTTTCTAAAACAGGATCTGATATTATCCAATTTTTTTCTTCAGTGCACTTTGTGTTTGTTTTCCATCTTTTTAACCTATGGACGTGTTACAAGACATCGCATGTTTTTCTAGGTAAAACACCCACTACTACCAATAATTTACAATCATCGCCAAGAATAACACAAGCCATGAATTTACTAAATGAAGGTATGAACAAAAGACACGTCTAGATTCAGATTAAAAACTTGTTAGTTTGTTTATTTCTAGTTATGGCATTAACTACAATTCCGGCAAATACTAACGATGTTAGTTTAGTAAATGATGGTGATATTCGACATGATATTGGATTAACAGAAATAAAGGATAATGACTCAGGATATGTACAACAGCAAACAACAACACAAGTTCTTAATCAGTTCGATTCACCGAGTGAGGTTGAACTGCGTTAACTTTTCCGAATCAGTCTGATCTCGCTATAACTTGGAACTAACCTTTCTCGCGGAGAGCTTTTTTGAAATGCGCGGTAGTAGGATTTTCAGAACCCCTGGTTTTCGAGTTACAGGTGCCGAATAAAACGGCTTTTAAAACAGACTGGGCGTCAGAACTAGGTTTTGAATGTGATATTCTGGTTCATTCTTACGTATTACGAATATATCACCCTCATTTTGAATAAAAGCGCAATCTGAGCGAGTAGAATTATTTATTAGGAATTTCAATGCGAACGTCGCATTTTCTTTGCTGTCGCCGGACTTTCCTACTTGGTTCTAAAATTAAAATTATTCGAAAATGCATCTTAAAAATCTCAAATTTTTGCGAGATCCCAATTTCTCAAAAGTATTTTAGTATCGATAGCGAATTCAAGTCGAATCTACTTTAAATAGCATTCGCAATAACTGTTGACGATTCATAAGTTCACGAAGTCACATGCTGTTGTCGAAAAAGGTCAAATTTGTTTGTCGTGTTCAAGTTCTTTTATTTTGAATTTTGTATTTGCAAGGAAAACGTTCGCTGCCTTAACAATAAAACCGAATCTATTCATACGCTTCTGAATTGACAATAGAAAATCAAATAAGTTAGACAACAATCGCATCAGTTTTTCATTCTGATTCCGATAGCTCTTATTTTGAAGAAAAAATGCGCTAGAATATATAAAAACGAGGAAAACCTCTAGGAAACCAAGTATTTATAAAACCCATAAATCCGCCTACGACAGTTTAGGACATTTTGTGAGTTCAGGATATAATCGTTTAACAACATTTTTATGGCGTAAAAATGAGTAAGATCGAACTTAGGCTTAATGGAGTGCTGCGATTTTACTACAGATGTCTTTTGTTTCTAAGATGTTTCTATTATGTTAGATATTTTCTTTTCTAACTTGTTTGAGAAGACAAAATCGTGAAACTAAATTTTTTCACCATCGGATAGGTCCTTGATCAGCCTAGATTTGTAAGTACGGAAACCTCAAAACACCTTTAGCTTCTGATTTTCAGCCAAATTTTTGCCTATATGCCTAGTGTGGGCATCGAGATAGATTGTACAATTGATGGCCAATTTGCATTTAAGATCTAACAAAATAACTTTGACTTGTGTACGTTCTTTGTTTAGCTTCATGATGGACATATGTGGTGCTGCCTCCTTTTTGTTTCTTTAGCTAAACCAGTCAATCCACAACAAAATGATGAAAGTGGAATTAGTAGTTCAGAAGCAAATTCAAGCGAAGATGGAAAACAAACAAAAAAAAAGAAAACGAAGAGAAGAAAACGTAACCCATTATCCAGCTGCGTTTGTGTTTTTGTGGATTATCCCGCTGCCTGTACTTTCCTTATTCGAATCTTCTCACGATGCACCATATTTTACGTATTTAGCTGGTTATAAATCAGAGAAAATTATTTTACGATATTCGATTGCAAGTTTTGGATTCTAGTAATGCAACATTGATAGCGGAGTATCGCTTTTAGCAATTTTGTGCGTTAATGCTAATCTGAGATTCTTCCAAAAAAATTATTGAATTTAACTAAAAAATTTAAATTTGAACTTTTAGAGCTCAGAAGTTGATTTTTCTGTTCTACGGTCTTGGTAATCAAATTTTAAGAACAGACCTTTACCTAGTGTATTCAGTTCTCTTTCAAGAGGCTCGTTTTGTTTTGAAAATTTTTTCCAAAACAAGCCCTCACATTTTTTTCAACTTCTGAGAATTCCTCAAGGAGTTTTCGAACTTTGTTTTCGACTGGAGTCTTCGCAGGTGGCCTAGATATACTCACATTTCACAGACGAAGGTTTTTGAATAACGAAAAACAGCGTAACTTTAGCAAAAACATTTTCTTCTTACTTTCAAGAAAAAGGTGAACCATAGTGTCAGAAATGCCACCTCGTTGCGTTTATAAAGTTCGCATAACCGGGAGGACAGCACAATTAAATGTTGTAAACTTATGACCTTTTCTTCTTCTAATTAATCAAAGTCAGGGGTAGATCTTTAAAACTGAAAAGCTAAAACTTTTATTCGCACATGTGCTTTCACCTGTCTTTGTGTTTCTCTCTTACTTATTAAAAGGTTCGACAATGCATTGTCAAAGACAAGTGTAAAGAAACCAAGAGCAGCACCAATGACACAGAATGCAGCTACAACTGATAACGTTCAACGGAAAGAGATTGAAAGTATAAATATTGCGATCAGAAAAATAGTACAACGAGTAGAGAAGTTAGAAAAGGTTTATAATGTATTAAAGAAAAATAAACGAATACCACCGGTAAGCCTTCTTTTTTCGTACAAATTTACATCCAACGTTTATAGTCTTTTTTATGATAACTATAGAAACGACGGCGGACTAAAAATCTTTATTTTGAACTCTAAATTTCACCAAACCGTCGCTTCTTTTTTACAAACATCGTATAATGCGACGGCTTTCAGATAATGCAGCTCACATTTTGCAGAAAAAGTCGAAATCATAAGAAATAAATTGTTTTTAGCAAAAAATTATTAAACGGTGAGATAATTAGATAGGCAAGAAGGAATTTAAGAAATTTTGCACGGTTTTACGAAAAACTCAAACCTTGCGTGATTACTATTTTCTGCTTTTCGTGTATTTCACTTTGCGAGTGCCGTAAGGCTTTTTTTACTGAACGTCCTTTATGTATGCTGCCTGTTATAGAACGTTCTTTGGATTGTATCACTTCTAGGATACTTTGTTCACAAAAACTTTTTCACTTAAAATCTGTATTTACAATCTACCAACTCTGTCAAAATATAATGATGATTTGAATACATTGTCTGGCATAATATCGGCTGCCAATTCACAGGATCAACCACGAAATACTGTATGTGTTTATACAATTGTATGGATAGTGCAAATGGATGATCTATTCTTCTATTTTTTAATTACCTCTGTAGATGGTTCTTGGTGTAGACATAACAGAAATTTCTATCGAATTAACATCACATACACGATTTGTAAGAGAAGTACTTAGACGAGCGGCTCTGGGTGCACAGACAGACAAATTATTATCAGATCCAAATCAAGTCACTGAATTGAAAAGTGTGATCGACTTATCTTTTTGAAAACTAAAGGACGGGGGCGATTATTTGATGAAATCGGTCCCTGCTCGAATTCCATCGAAACACACATGGTTAGATGCAGAATAAACAGGAGAACATTTCTAGCCACTCGACAGACCTTGGAGTTACTCTAAGAAAAAACTAGGTCGAATTTACTGTAACAAAAGTTCTCCTCTTCTTTCTTCAACGGTGACGATCCTGTCCTCCTCACTTGACGACTAAGCACGACGATACATATACCATTCAATAGAGATTTTCTCGCGCTACAATTGCATACATATAAACTAGTGAGGAAAGTGTCCTAGGGCACATTGACATTAGAAATACTTTATGCAAAGCCGCAGCAAGTGGGTGCAGCGGCGTAACCAGGATTTTTAGTACAATGGGCAAACTTCTATTGTAGCGGAAAAAAACGATGGGCAAAATGGGCAAGGTTTTTGTCGATGGGCCAAAAGATTTTTGGTCCAAAAAGAACAAAAAA